AATTGAATTTCAGCATAACTAAACTAATGTCAAACAAAAATAACAAACCTATGATAAATATGCAAGGGACAGAGATAGAACACGTAGATAAATATAGATATCTGGATCAAAATGTCAAGGTAAGCAAAGAAAATCAGAATACCGAAATAAGCAGACGTGTAAAAATAGGATGGGCAGCATTCGGAAGACTCTCATATGTACTAAAAAATAAAAATATACCTCAAAGACTGCGAACCAAAGTGTTTAATTCCTGTATTCTATCTGTATTTACATTTGGAGCTCAAACCTGGACATTCACTAAAATAAACATGGAGAAGATCAGAAAAACTCAGAGAGCTATGGAACAACAGGTACTGGGTATCTCAGTCAAAGACCATAGAACCAATAAAGACATTCGTAATAGCACAAAAGTAAAAGATGGTTATACCGAAAAGTATTAAAAATATCATGGATTGATAGAATTACAAATCAAGAAGTACTGGAGAAGGTTGGTAAAGAAACAGAACTAATCACCACTATACAAACCAGAAAACTGGAATACCTAAGCCACGTAATGAGGGGACCAAAATATGAAATTTTGAGACTCATAATACAGGGAAAGATTCAAGAAAGAAGATCTGTTGGCCGAAGGCAGAATTCATGGTTAAAGAATCTAGGTGATTGGTATCAATGCAGATCGATTGATTTGTTTAGAGCAACAAGTTCTAAAATAAAAGATAAAAAGACTTCTAAGAAGAAGAAAAGATGGTGTCAAACGGGCAGCTAAACTGAAATGAAAATGGACTGGACATAACGAACGTCTTAAGGATGGCCGATGGGATAAAGAAATCGGGAATTCGCGGCCATATGAAGCCAAAAGACAACGACGAAGATCGCAAATGTAATGGAGCGATGGTATTAAAAGAACTGCAGGACCAATGTAGAAACATCTCACAAACAACAGAAATGAATGGCTAGAATTAGGAGAGGCCTATATTCGGCAATCCGACTAGAGAGAAGGGCTTAAAAAATGAACGCAAAGGAAAAATTGGGCTAAATCAAACCAGTTAAAGAAAGTAAATGGTTAGATAAGGAGTGCCAAGAAGCAAGAGATATAAAAATTTAGCATACCTAAAGAAAAGCAAAGGGGAATATCGGATCCTAAGAAGAAAAGAAAAAAGATTACATAGAAAAAATAAGGCAATTGGTGAAAAGCAAATAGAAAGCATACAAAGGCTAAGAAATCAAAAGGAAACTCAAAAGTTCTACAGAAATCTAAACAAAATGAGCAAAGAGCTTAAGCCAAGAAAAGGTAGCTTTAAGAATGGAGAAGGAAATATCCTAAATCATAGGACCTCGATCTTGAACAGATGGGTTGATTAGTAAATTGAATTAAATTAAATTAGTCAATAAACGTACTTTAACCTTTAGATTTATAGGAAATTAGACGTAGACATCAGTAACACTCAGATGTGATTCAGAAAAGGGCTGGGGACAAGGAAGGCTCTGTTTGCAATGAACGTTCTCTCACAGAGATGCTTAGACATGAACCAAGAAATTTACGCCTGCTTTATTGATTTCGAAAAGGCCTTTGACAAAGTACAACATGAACCACTAAGACAAGTTCTAATAAAGAAAAATATAGACAGCCGAGATATTCGAATTATATGCAATCTATATTGGAATCAAACAGCAAATGTAAAGGTTGAGGGCAGATTAACAGAAGAAATTCAAATCCGTCGAGGAGTCTGGCAGGGATGTATCTTATCGCCACATTTATTTAATCTGTATAGTGAAGCTATCTGTGAACAAGTACTTGAGGAAGAAGATCTTGGTCTGATAATAAATGGTGAGACGATCAACAATATAAGGTATGACGATACAGTTCTCCTAACGGGAACGCTAGTAGAACTACAACATCTCGTTCAAAGTTTCAATATATACTGTAACAGTTACGGCTTGAAAATTAATTTGAAAAAAACTAAATTTATGGTAATCACGAAATCGAAGAAGAAATCAGAGCTAATCTTGTAATAGACAATACAACGATTGAGCGTGTGCCCTGTTATAAATATCTAGGTGCTTGGATCACAGACGATACTGATCAAACAAAAGAGATTAGATGTAGAATAGAAATCGCTAGATCAGTCTTTAATAGAATGCGCAAACTCTTTTGCAATCGTGATATAAATATAAAGTTACGAATACGAACGCTGTGGTGTTATGTCTTTTCTACCCTGTTATATGGAGTTGAGGATTGGACACTAAAACAGTTGACCATAAAAAACATCGAAGCTTTCGAGATGTGGTGCTATAGGCGCATTCTCAGAATATCATGGATGGACCGCGTCACTAACACGCAAGTACTCCAAACTTTAGACAAAAGATGCGAAATTTTAAATGAGATAAAAACTAGAAAGATGGAATACTTGGGGCACATTGTGAGAGGTGAAAAGTACGAACTTTTAAGCAACATCATGCAGGGCAAAATTAAAGGCAAAAGAAGTGTGGGAAGAAGAAAAATATCGTGGCTTCGTAATCTACGTAAATGGTTCGGGTGTAGTTCGATTGAACTTTTTAGGCGCGCTGCTAACAAAGTCGCAGTGGCCATGATGATTTCCAATCTCCGCTAGGAGTGGCACGAGAAGAAGAAGAACCTTTAATTGTGGCTTATTCCCATTTAAATAGTAATTACTTTAAAATGCCACAAGAAAATAGCTTCAGAACAATATTAAGAAACCGTTATGGGCCCAGCGTTATTTAAAATTTTCGGAGATTGGAAATTCTATACAAGAAACTGACACATTGTGAAAATTCAATTAAATTTTTACGAAGATGTAGAGACAAAAACCTAATACCAAAGGGCTTGAAGCTACTTCCAGCATATTCAAGCAGAGGGTTGGAAAACATTCTACATAGAGCCAGTTTGTCCATGATCCGCGAAAAGTTACAATATCATAGATGGGTTTATTTTTTCGACACAAAATTTAATTAAATTAATTTAGTTTAATTTAATCGAAGCAGTAGATCGAAGCGACGCAGAACACCCTAGCAAAACAAAATAATTAAAATATATTTAACCAAAGCGAAATACCATCCACCTACCATTGAAGAGATTGCTCAATCCATTAAAAAGCTTAAACATAATAAATATTCTCTACCAATACTAGCAAATATTCTCTACGAAAGGTTGCAAGTTTACATAGTGGGCATAATTGGTAAATATCAAGTTGGATTCACTCCAGAAAAATCAACAGTTGACCAGATTCATTCAATAAGACAGATTCTCGAGAAAACATTAGAATTCAATATTGAAACCCATTACCTATTGTCGACTTCAAGGCCGCATACGACAGTGTCAAGAGAACAGTGCTATACCAATCAATGCATGAGTTTGGTATACCAGAGAAACTTATCAGACTAACGAGAATGACAATGTCTAACTTAGAAGCCACTGTTAGAATACAGGGAGAGAGTTCTAGATCCTTTGAGATAAAGGATGGACTTAGACAAGGATATGCTCTGGCTTGCCTTCTATTTAATATTGCCTTAGAAAAGGCAGTCCGAGATACACGAATTAGGGATGGCGGTACTATTTACAATAGATCGATACAAGTCTTAGCATATGCTGATGACATTGACATAGTAGGGTGTAGCAAGCGAGATGTTAAGCAATATCTCCTGGAATTGGAAACAGCGGCGAAACAGGTCGGTCTAGTCATCAACGAAGACAAAACCAAGTACATGTTGGTTACAAAGGATCCGATAGTAAATGAGGAACAAGAAACAGTCTTTGGAAGTCATACCTTTGGACGTGTTAACAACTTCACATACCTTGGGTCGCTATTGACTGCTACAAATAAAACAAGCGAAGAAATCAAAAGACGAATAAATCTTACAAATAGGGCATACTATGGACTCCATAAGCATTTCCACTCAAGAAACATTCAAAGAAAAACTAAGATTATTATATACAAAACATTCCTGAGGCCGGTCCTCACATATGGAGCAGAAACATGGACTCCAACGCAGAAAGATGAAAGACTTTTGGGAATATTTGAGCGTAAAATACTCCGCAAAATATTTGGAGCTGTAAACGACCAAGGGCAGTGGCACAGAAGATATAATTTTGAATTGTATTAGCTCTTTGATGAGCCAGATGTCATAACGTTCATTAAAACACAGCGACTTAGATGGGCTGGACACATAATACGAATGCCAGAAAATACCATTGCTAAAAAGCTAACCACAGGAACACCTGTAGGAAAAAGAAGCAAAGGCCGACCGCGAATTAGGTGGTTAGATGGAGTAGAAACCGACTTACGAATATTAAAAATCAAAAGATGGCAACATGTTGCCAAAAACCGAACAGAATATATGCCGTAGCCGAATAAATCACCAGGACCTGATCAAATTTGCAGCTACCTCTACAAGAATGGTGGCGACGCTCTGCTACGTAAACTGCCTAACATTTTACTTCTTGTCTGGCTAAATGAGACCATGCCCTGTGAATGGTCTCAAGGCGTGATGTGCCCCTTACATATAGAAGGCGACCAGCTCCAGTGTGACAACTACACAGAAATAACCCTGATAACAACTGCTTACAAAATACTAGTAAATATTCTCTATGAGAGGCTACAGGTTTACACAGTGGGCATAATTGGAAATTACCAGGTCGGATTTACTCCAGAAAAATCAACAGTTTACCAGATTCATTCAAGAGATCCAGCTATATGTTACGTTTTGAAAATGCCAAAATTCCTATCTAAAGCTTGTATTCTAGGTGAAAAAGTTGAATGACAGTTTAAAAATCAGCTCTTAAAATGGTTTTAAAAATGTTAGTTAAAAGCAAAATTTGCTTTAAAAAACTTAACAATCTTAATCGCATATTTATTTCTAGAGGATGTGATAATAAGTTCCTTTAATAATAAACAAAATAAAAATCTTGTAAAGAGATGTTGAAATATTTAAATCATTATAATCAAATATTTTAAAAATAATGTATCATACTAACTACTTACCACCTAGAAGTTATGGAACTAATGATGTAAAAACTACCAATGATCGGTTTTCCACTGCACCAGATTTTGTTTTCACTTATAATAATTGCATTTCTACATGCTTGCAGTTCATAACACCTTATAGCAAAGTCGCCATATACCGCGGAGAAAGAGAAAGTAGGAAGATCGATTTATGGCATAAACAACAATTTTTTCTTCTACATTCTCTCGCTTGATATATCTTGTTATATCTAACGGAAGCATACAGCGTATTATCAGATATACACACTAAAGTTATGTGATGATAGACGTTGCACAATACAGAGACTAGGCGCGAATGGCAGAGTTGTATAATAATGTTCTTAATTTATGTCTTTCTAACTTATGAATACTGTTAGAATGTTTTGTGGGGTTTTGTGAAGTAACATTTATTTCTTGTTGTTTATAGATATACTTCTGTCAATTTAACGTGATCTAATGAAAAATGTTTTGTTAAAAATAATATAATCAGATGATTTAAGTTTAGTCATAAAATATGTAAATAATAAGAAAAAAGATCGATTATTTTAATGATGATACTGTTTAAACATATAAAAATTTAATCATTAGCTTTCAGAATTTATAAAAGATTTATAGTCCCGACTTCGGAGATTTGATCTATAAAAACGAGACGAACAAGCTGGATTTTGCTGTGTCTGTCAATTGTCCTCCAGAAAGGCTGCTATGATGCAAAGTACACTTCTAATGTGTGATTTTAAGTACCAATTGTTGAATTGTACAACTTTCGATATTTCAACTAGTGAATTCAGAGGTTTAATCGGTCATTCTGGTTGGCACATAAAGAAAGAAGTCAACTACTTCATAAGTTTATCGAAGACGTTTCGCTTTATATCTCTAAAGCTTCATCAGTTCTCTAACTACCCAAACCCAAACCTAACTCTAACCCAAACATAGCACTTAACCATTCGTTGTCTTAGTTCTAAACTGAGATGATTATTACAAAGAAATGACTTCATTTTCATGTCTGGTTCTAGTTGGTCCGTTTTCAAAGTTCCCAAATATGAAATTTTGTGAACTTTCTCAACTTGGACTCCGTTTAATTGAAGCTTTGCATCGGGGTGTGAGTCACGACTAAACACTAAAAATTTGGTGTTGTTTGAGTTAATTTTAATGCCCATTTCCTCGACTACCTCGTGAATACGATCAAGCAGAATTTGGAGACCTTCAATATTATGTGTTGGAGACAGAATTACTGTATCGTCTGCATATCTAATCACATTAAGTAGTTCCCCGTTGATTTTTATTTCATATGATTGTCTCTCAAGTGCCTTTTTAAATAACTTTTTAATGGGATGTTAAGCGCAAAAAGTGCCTCCCTGGTTACCATAGCATTTCTAAAACCAAATTGGGTATCTTCAAGATCTTCTTCGCATTTGCGTCCAATTTTGTTGTGAAGTATTCATGGCAAAATTTTAAGAGTGGGGCTCATTAGGCTAATTAATCGATATTCTGAGCATTTTCTCGCATTGTGTTTTTTAGGTATTGCGACAAAAATGGATTTGAGCCAATCTGTGGGTATATCAACAGCAACTCAGTTGGTATATCATTTGGACCACAAGCTTTTCTAATTTTAGCAATATTTATAGCGTGTTCTATCTTGCATTTTATAATTTCTGGGCCGTCATTACAAATTTGGTAGAATTCGACAATATTATTCCTGTCATCTTCAAAAACTCTGGTATATACAGCCACCATTCTTTTCTCATATTGTGCTGATTTACAATAATTTTGTTATTAAATAGGTAAAGAAATAATAATAAGACTTACTCACAATCAATTTAATTTAACAATCTGACGACCGGTTTCGCTTTCTACAATTTGCAAAGCATCTTCAGGTCTAGATACAAAGTTAAACTAATGCTGCAATAAAATAAACCCAATTAGGGTGGTGTCTAATAAAGATAAAATAAACAAATAAGTTAGTTCATACAAATTATAGTAATTATGCCAATATTACATGTCTGTGGTTTTCAAATGAATAAATTTGAATATATAAAAGGTATTAACAGACAAGGTAAGACCCACAATTGGTATAAAATAGTAGTATTATATTGTAATAAATTAATAAATGAGCAGATAAATAAAACAAAACAAACATTACTTACATGCCGGTACTCTATTAATTGATGGATGGTAGGTCATGGTTGCAAAAATCATGTATTGTTGATTGGAGAACTTTAATGTGCTATTGCAGTTGTTTTGACAATAAACGGGAAGTTCTTGAGGAAAACAGATTTGATCCAATGAATTAGAGATAGGTATATTGTGGTTGTTTGTCAGATGAAAGTGATGTTCTTTACTATTGTATTATTTAAATTATTTACACTTATATCAGAGATATATTTTTGGAATGTGTGTTATTTATTGAGTATTTATGTTATGAAGGAGACAGTTTTATGACAATGAATAAGAGTAGCTGTACCGATTGTGTGGTTGTGCAATTATTTTGACTTGTAATTATCAAGTCTATTGGCAAAATTAATCAATTATTGTAAAGTCAAGTATATAAAAAGTATATAAAAAGTATATAAAATTATTAGAAATTAACCATCGGTAATTGCATGCATGTTACCGATGTAACATGCAATGCATGTTACATCGGTAGAACCTTCAGATCCTTCAATACCAGACTAGGGGAACATTTTAGATATATAGAACGTCCAACATCAGGTCAATCACATTTCTCCCAACATATCCGTCGAACAAACCACATCTTTGATCCACAAACAGATTTCACAATCCTTCATACTTGTAATAAAGGCTCCTTATTAAATAACCTAGAACATTTAGAAATATTAAAATCATTAAAAAATCAAACAACAGTTACACTTAATGCACAATTAGAATTAGAATACACACCAGTATACTCAGTATTATTATAAAAAAATTTTTTCGATATAAATAATATTACCTGAACCTACTCCATTTCTCGTTTCTACAGTAGATCCATATACTTCGAGAATTGTTATCACAAACATCAACTTATCATATTAATCTTCCATATATTTTCCATTAACATCACACAATACTTTGTAGTAATTTCAATACCATAGTAACAACATTTTGTCCCAGATCCCATTTAATCAAATACATCTGATATACAGTTTTGATATACTTCTCAGATTGTTTTAAATCTTCAACATTAAATTAAAATCCAGCACACCATGATGGATCGAATTTCTTGTTCACAGAATTTCTCCTCTTTTCTTTTCTTCAACATATCACCAATAAAAATAAACTTTCCTAAAACTAAATTAAACATCAGTAATGAACTGGTATGGTACCTCAACTTATTTAACCCATAATAATTATTATTGCATTCCATCTGGTTTCGACAAATACTTAATTTACAACATATTTCATTTCAAACTCAACACGTGGTTTATGGATTTCCAACATGACTGGAAAATTGTTCAGACTAGCAGTTTGGATTACATATATCTATACTATTCATAATCCTGTACAGATTTATAATTTAAATAGAAATATTAACTTTCATAAACAGATATTAATTTTTTAAAAAAATTTTAAAAATTTTTACTAAAACTACTGTAAAAACTCACCAGTGTTCTTGTCGGTTTGAGGAATGTCTGTTCATATTATACAAAGAATTAAAATAAAAGTATACTTTACACCGGTTTAAATGGGTACCTGCTGCCCGGGGATGGAATCAATTTCCGGTTCCAATTGTCATAAATTAGTATTGCCAACTAATTATTCAAGACTTAAGTTAGTCAATTACTCGAACTCAAAATTTGAATAATCATCAATATTCACCCAATTACTACTTTATTTAATTATTAATTATTATAATTCAAATTAAATATTTTAAGAAATGTTTATAAACCATAACAGATAGCTCAGACCGACAATTATTTCAAATAAAAAAATTTTCAGGCAATTTGTAAATTTGTTATACCTTTCAATTACAAGTACACTTTTTTGCATTTACTAAATAATCATTTTAATTTGTTCTGAAAAATTCAGACTAAAATTGGTTAGTTATAACAGATGATGTATTTGAAGAAGATGAAGATGTAGAAATTATTTGAATTTGAAACTTATTAATTAAAATTGTTAAAGTATGCCAATATTAAACACATCAATTTACTTTTGATTTCTAAATTAAAACAAATTTTGAGACATTCATTAATATCAACATACTCCATAATACTGAATAACTAAACTTACAGTATTTAGTAATAGAAGAAGAACTGTCACACTTCAACCTACATATGTCAAATTTGCCTCTTAAATCTAATAGATTAAATATGAAAAAACTCATTACTCCCAACACTGAGATGTAGTGCTTACAGTTTCTTCCATTCCCCAAGTTTAAGTTTTAAATTCAATGTTTGTCCCGTCATTTAGTGTTTCTGTTCCTGTTAATGTGTGTTTAATTTGTCCCTGATTGTCTTAATTTGTAATAATTTTATATACTTTTTATATACCTTTTATATACTTGACTTTACAATAATTGATTAATTTTGCCAATAGACTTGATAATTACAAGTCAAAATAATTGCACAACCACACAATCGGTACAGCTACTCTTATTCATTGTCATAAAACTGTCTCCTTCATAACATAAATACTTAATAAATAACACACATTCCAAAAATATATCTTTGATATATGTGTAAATAATTTAAATAATACAATAGTAAAGAACATCACTTTCATCTGACAAACAACCACAATATACCTATCTCTAATTCATTGGATCAAATCTGTTCTCCTCAAGAACTTCCCGTTTATTGTCAAAACAACTGCAATAGCACATTAAAGTTCTCCAATCAACAATACATGATTTTTGCAACCATGACCTACCATCCATCAATTAATAGAGTACCGGCATGTAAGTAATGTTTGTTTTGTTTTATTTATCTGCTCATTTATTAATTTATTACAATATAATACTACTATTTTATACCAATTGTGGGTCTTACCTTGTCTGTTAATACCTTTTATATATTCAAATTTATTCATTTGAAAACCACAGACATGTAATATTGGCATAATTACTATAATTTGTATGAACTAACTTATTTGTTTATTTTATCTTTATTAGACACCACCCTAATTGAGTTTATTTTATTGCAGCATTAGTTTAACTTTGTATCTAGACCTGAAGATGCTTTG